CTATTAAGGCACCAAAAAGAATTTATTTTAACAAGTCAAACTTTAAGGGGTTCAACTGTCGTGATGTAAGGCCTGAAGTGACAAAGTAGCATATCCCTACTTTTTCCACGGCAGACTGTAAACCTTTAGCGCTCATGGGTTTGCCCTTTAATTTTGTGACAACTTAAAGTGGTCTGTCAGCCAATATGATATGCCTCCGCTACCGCGCAAAAATAACTGTAAAGCGTGGAAATCGCGCTTCCGTTTGGGAAACTCTGGGTTCACACTTCGTGTGGCACCATTTTAGTATTTACGATCCTGTATAGTGGAGACTCGTCGCCGCGACAGGTATCATAGGCACAGCGCGCTCGCTCTTCCGTGCTCAGCTTGCCCCCCTTCTCCAGCTGGCGAGTCCGGCGAGCCAGCGGTGTCGGCAGTCAGCCCGCCCGCGACGTGCTATGTTTCTATTGCCATCTCTCTTGCACACGACAGTTATTGAGGCGACAGTTATCGAGTCTCTTCTGTACAGGCAGATTGTTCACCGAAACAAATTATTAAGTTTTTGGAACCCCATTAGTTGACGTTGATGGTGGTGACTAAGGGAAGCAGCAAATTTTGGCCAATTAATGGGAACACTACTTTCTATAGAACTTCTTTCTTTATGCAAGACGTTTCTAATTGAGAATATTACACTTGCCAGACTTTCTATGATTCGCAAAGGAATGAAGTATAATCTTTCCTAACTCTCGTCTGTTTTGTTCACAGGTCAGCCTAAATGTGCATCAGCATCGCCCTAAGACCTATCAACATCAACTAGAAAGGGCACAATCGAAGGACATCAACATGGTGAACGCACGGAAAAAGCCTCTTCAGTGCATCGTATGCCTCAAGACTTTTGCTCAGTTTGGTAAGCTGAAGACTCATCTACGAACCCACACTGGGGAAAAGCCATTTGAGTGCACCGTGTGCCACAAATCCTTTTCTCAGTCTGGCAATCTAAAGAGACATCATCGTACCCACTCTGGAGAAAAGCCATTTGATTGCAGCTTGTGCTACAAATCGTTTGCTGCAAGTGGTGACTTGAAGAAACATTTACGAACCCACACTGGGGAAAAGCCATTTAAGTGCGCCGTGTGCCTTGAATCCTTTTCTCAGTCTGGCAGTCTAAAGATACATCAAAGTACCCACACTGGGGAAAAGCCATTTGAGTGCACCGTGTGCCACGAATCCTTTTCTCAGTCTGGCAATCTAAAGACACATCTACGCACCCACACTGGAGAAAAGCCATTTGATTGCAGTTTGTGCTACAAATCGTTTGCTATAAGTGGTGATTTGAAGACTCATCTACGAAC